TATTTTAGGATTCCCTATTTTTAATGTTCATAGAGAGATTTCTTTAACTGAAATACCGAATAATTTCTTTGGTGTGAAAAACTATAATAGTACACAGGATCCTAATGAGACAATAATGTGAAATAGGAAGTAAAGGGCTAAAGGTATAAGGAAAGTGGGAAGGGTGGGGGAAAGTTAATAAGGGAAAGGAAAACAATATGAGAAAGTGAAAAAATGGAAATAAAGTGTTTGTAAATGGGGAGGGGAGGAGGGGGTGAAGGGAGGGCAGGGACAAGGGGAAAAATGAGAATCAAGACCTATTATGTAAAGGTACAGAATCCCAATGATGAATGTAATTGTATTGTATACCTAGATTGTACCAATAACCTCAATAAAAAGAAAAAAAAAAGAAATGTGGTGGGGACAGTACTTTAGGTGTGAATTTAAAGGGACAGTACTTTAGGTGTGAATTTACAAGTTAGCTGGCGAGATAAGGAGTTATACTAAGTAAAACCTTCTTTAGGAAAACAGTATCAATGCATAGACTTTAGTACTAATCAATGTGACCAATTAAGAAAAAAAATGTAAAAGAGGAAAGAGAGCTTTTGGCTCACAGTTTCAGAGGTTCTGTCCATGGGGGGCTGGTTCACGGCTGTGTGGGATATGGAGCAAAGCCACTCAGTTCATGGCAGCCAGGAAGCACAGAGGGGGGAAAGAGACAGAGGAAGGGGCCTAGGACCAGGTACTGTGTCAGAGTTTATGTCCCCAGCTCTTCCTTCAATGAGGCCCTCCCTCCTGTCTCTGTCGCCTCCCAGTACATCACCAAATTACGGCCCCACCAACGGTTAAACCACGGATGCCATTGGCGTCCGCATGGTCCAGTCACTTCTCGAAAGCCCATCACAGGCATTTAACAGAATGAGCCTTTTGGAGGGGGGCATTTTGGACAACCAACACAACTTCCTTCCCTTATTCTAAACATCCTAAAGATTAAGATTAATGTTGGTCAATAATAGACAATGGAAGGAAATGACAAGAAAAAATCCTTCATTGTTTAATTTCAGAACAGTAAATTTCCAAAAATTCTGAGGACTCTTAAGTATAAAAAAAGTTAGTAGTATAATAAAAAAGATATTGGGCCCCATGATCTTTGAATTATTTTTCCTGAAATGACAGTGGATTCTACTGATTCTCTTTGTAACCTACGCCGTTTTTTAATTGTGGATGTAACCTGTGGGCATGGGAGGTGCAAATGGAATTCAAGCCCATGGCCTTGGTTTAAATGCATAGGTTGCAAGTAAACGCACAGGCTTCACTTAACAGTCATATTTATCTGAAGAATGTGAGGACAGCATGGCCACTGTACCATGTATATATCACTCTGTATTCTTCTCACTGCATGAATCGCTTTTACAGTTAGGTAACGTTGGTTTATCTGGTGCCACAGATCCCTGTTTAACAGATGAAGCATCTATGGCTCAGTCACTTCACTTCAGTCCACAGACTTTGTGATGGGCTTCCCAGACTCAATCCCAACTCTTACTCTAGGCAGTATTTGGTATTATACCACTGTTAAGGCTTGTATCTAAATGTCTCCTCAAAGCCTCACGTGCTCAGAGACAGAGCGCTTCACAACTGGCTGGATCTAGGGCGTGTGATCCTGGGATTAAGGGTGTATGACACTAAATCAGTCCACTGATTGGAATTAACAGAGTTCTAAGTGGCACCAAAGGCTGGAGTCTGGATGGGATCAAAGGGAAAGCAAGGCTGGCTGCTTGCTGCTGCATGCTGCCTTCTACTTGCCATACCATGGGATATTTCTCTTCTGCAATGTCCCCTTTGTTATGTCTTGGAGCCAGTTGACTACAGACTGAAACCTCTATAAACCACAAGCTACAATAAGCCTTTCCTTTTAACTTTGGGTGTCCAGTATTTTGTTTCAGCAAGGAGAAAAGTAATTAAGACAACCAGCCACTTTGGTGCTTAGTAACTGACAGGTGAATAAGACCTTGAAAGCCATATTCCCCTAGATGTCCTAGGTGAAAAGAATCAAGATCAAGGAATTACTTGATATGGCATTGAATAGAAACAATTACATAGTTTTGGCTAGGTATATTTCGTAAACACACATACATGTATTATCAAAAACACAAGTACAGGAAAGATAAGCCAAGTATTAGCACATATGCAATACTGCCTTTTCCAGAGCAGGAAAGAAAGTAGATGAAATCATCACACAACTGTTGTAAAAAGAGGAGAAACTGATATTGTCTTGATCTCTGAAAAAGAAGGAAAACTACTCAGTGTAAATGAACCAATCTTGGATTTTAGTTCCAATACCAAATGACTTGGTTTAGCATCCTTACAGCAAGTTTCAGGCCCAGTATTTGTCAAGTTTTGTTTTGTTTTTTTTGTTTTTGGTTTTGGTTTTTTTTGGTACACAGGACCTTGCTGCTTGCAGGCAGTGGAACCACGGAGCCAAATCCTGGGCCAAGGCCAGATATTTCTAGTCAACCGAAGCAAATACATTAGTAAGAAAAAAAGGCTTAGAAATAAGATACTTTGTGTATTTCACCCTTTCCCCAGCATGCTATGTAAAAGATAACATTTACTGAGTTACTCTATATACATTGTATACCTTCCTCCTTGTTTCAACAGTAGCGAGAAAACAGATGGGGCTCTAGCCTTCTCCCAGGAAAGGGGCTGACTGCCAGACACAGGAGGCAGATGGAAGTCCCGCCTGCTGCTCCTGGGCCGTTTCACCAACACGAAGAGGTGAGGGGCGGGTGGGTGCGGACAGCAAGTGGCTGAGAGGGCAGGGGTCGGGCCAGGTCGCCCACCTCACGGCTCTCAGCTCTTCACCGCCCTCCCAGCCGGGGCTAGAATCACCCTAATCCCTCAGTCCCAAGTATTAGAAACAAGTTCGAGCGGCAACACTGCTGCGGCCTCTTCTCTAGGTCACCCACCAGGAAGGCAGAAGTCCCGTGGCCTGACAAATCCTCTCCAACTGACACTCAACCTGAAGCCTGGTGGCCGTTCCACTGTGTACGATGTCGCCCAGAGGACGGAACTGTACGCAGCACCAACGATGTTGGCCGAAAGACACAAGGACTGTGCACAGCACCCAGCACGGTGTTGGACGGGGGACCGGGCGCAGCACCCACGGTGTTGGCCAGAAGACAGGGCAACGTGCGCAGCACCCAGCACGGTGTTGGGGTCGGGAGGACTGTGCACAGCACCCAGCACCACGCTGGCCGAAATACGTGCACCATGAGCAGCACACCGGGCCCGACCCACGACCCGCACCGCTGACCATCACGTAGCCTGACGGCTGAAGCTCTGCGTTCTCCTAAATCGGCTCAGACAGAAGGCTTGGGCGCAGCCCTGGACGTCGGGCTCCAGACGACACGGCACCTGTCGGCGTCACTGCGCGGGGCGCGGGGACGACGGGGACTG